TTTATTAAAAAATTAAAGTTTAAATTTATTCTTAGTTTAATATTTTTTAAAGTTTATAAAAATTTTTTTAAATATTTTTTTGTGTGCTGTTTTAGCTTATTTAAAAAATTAAATAATATAGGGTAAAGCGGGCATGTAAAAATAAGAGTATTTTTAATAATATTTATATTTTTAACTACTATATTAAAAAGTATTTATTATTATTATACTTGCTATTATAATATATATTATATAGATTTTTTATATGTTTAAAAAAGCCGTGATATGCTTTTTTATTTATTTATAATAATTATTACTTTTTTAAAGCTAATAAATTATATAATATATAATTAGCTATTTTCTTAAAAGTTTTTATATTACCTATTTTATTTATAATTATATAAAATGCTTGTTATACGCGCTGTTAATTCTATATTTATTAATTATTATTATTATTTATTTTAAAAAATTTTATAACTTACTATTATTACTATGCTTGCGAAGTAAATAAATTATAAGGTTTATTTATTATTTAAAGCTAACTAGGTTATAAAACGCCAGAGTTTTTATTTTATTATTAATAAAAAATCTAACTTTATGCAGGCCTTTAAAAGTTTTTTTAATTTATTTAAGTATTATTTTATTATTATAGCTAAGGGTTATTTTATTTTTTATAAATAAATAGGCACTAAAATATAAATAGGTTACCTAAAGTTATTAAAAGCGTTTTAGTTATTTAAATAATAAGGGAAAGTATTTTAATTAGGATTATTACTTTAGCAGGAAATAAATTATACTTTATTAATAAGGCACTAGTTTTTAGTATATTAAAATATTAAATCTTACTAGGTAATAAATTTTAACTTAATTAAGTTAATAAACTAGCCTAAAGTTATATTTTTATTTAATTTAAAAAATTTTTACATAGTAATAGCTTAAAAGCACACTATATAATTATTATTTAAAAATAAATATTATTTATTTTTATAGCTTTGCATGCGCGTATAGCTTTTTAAATAAACTTTTTAAGGGTTATTTTAAAATAAAGATTACTAAACCTATAGTAAAGGAAGTTAACTTTAAACCTTGCTTTAAAAATATAAAAATAAAATTTTTATATTATTTAAGTAAACCACCTATTTTTTAAATTTAATTTTTTTTAAAGTATTTTTTTTAAAAACTATTAGCTTAAAAGTAAATTAATTTAAGGCTAATTCTTAAAGTATAACCTAAATATTTATTTTTATTATTACTTTACCTTTATAATTAATAATATTTTTAAGTTAATTTATAAAAATGTTAACATTTTTATAATAAACCTTTTTACTAAAGTGTTTAATAAAAATATTTTCCAAAATATTAAAATTAAAATATCTTATTTTATTAATTTACTAGTTATTACTATTACTATTAGCAGGGTAGTTTTATTTATTTTTTTATTAAATATTTTTATATTATTAGTGTTTATTTTAGGGTTTAAACCCGCCAGGATTATTATTATTATTATTATTATTATTATTATTATTTAAATTATTATTTAAATTACCTTTAGCTATACTATTTTAATTCCTGTTTAACCTTTTTTTATTATTTAAAATATTTATAAGGCCGCCCTTTAAAACGTTTCTTATTATTTTACTATGTGTTATTAAAATAATTTATATTTTTATTTACTTTAGTATTAGCATTAGTATTAGCTGCTATATTTTTTTTTGAATTTATAAGCTTTTAAAAGTTTCTTGTAATATTTTTTACTACCCTTATTTAATTATTTATTTATTATTAATTTAGTAAAATTTAAGTAATTATATTAGCTACTAATAGCTAGTTTTTAAGTAAGTCTAGCCTTTTTAAGTTATTACAGCCCTGTCCTAGGCCCTTATTATAGTAAAAAGATTTATTAATACTTATTATTTTAAACATGTTATTTTTGTTATTCTTAAAGAAAAAAAAAATAAGGTGTCTTATATTTATATATAATATAAAATGTAGTATAATAAGTTATTTTTTTTAATTAGGGTTACTAAGTTTTTTTTAATATAAAATCTTTTTATTTTATTATTTTTAGGTAGCTTTACTAAAAAGTTAAAAATAAATAATATTTTTGGGCTTGTAGGGAATAATCCTAGTATTTTTAAGTTTAATAAAAAATACTTTAGTACTAAAACTTTTAATTATACTATAATATTAAGAGTTTTAACCACGTGTGGTACTACTTTTATAACTTATTTTATAAATTATTATAGTACCCCTAATGTGGCCTTAGCTAATAAAAATAATATATTAAAAAAATAGTTTACTAAGAAATAATTTACTAAGAATATTTTAGTTTTTATTTAATAAAATACTTATTATATTATATTAAGGTTAGGTAGGGGTGTAAAAGTATACTCTAGTATATATTTTTTTAAAAAAAAGCAAGCAGCTTTAAATCTTTTTTAAAGGTAAAAAAATAAATAATATTATGTTAGTAGGCTCCTGCGTAGTAAATTTTATAATAAATATAAAAAATACTAAATAGGATTTTAAGTATAAATATAATTATAATTAACCTAAAGCTTTTTTTTAGTATTTTAACCAAAAGTAAAAGTAATTAAAGGTATAAAAAATCTTTTATAATTTTATATTATTTATATAAGTGTAAAATTTTTTAACAGCTAAATATAAAACGCTTTAATTTATATTTTAATTTAATAAAAATTAGTGTAATTATATAAAAAGGGGTARTTTTTTTTTATAAACCATGCCAAGTATATAATTTTTATATTAAGGTTATAAATAAAATTAAATTTTAAAGTATGGAAAAAGCAAGATATTTAATATTTTAATTTTAAAGTTTAGGAGGAATAGGCTAATATTAATTTAAAAAAAGCTTTTTTTATTAATAGTAAATATTAATAGTAAGATAAAAAATAAAATATTATTAACTAATAGTATTTACTATAGTTATGGTTTTAACTTTAAAAGCTCTAGAAATTAAGTAAATATTTTTTAGGAGGCTTTTAAATTATATTAAAAAATATACTACCACTTGTTAAACCTAACGGGGTAATATAATAAAATAATAATAAGTTAATTTTTTAAGTAATTATCTTAAAAGTAATATAGATACATAATAACTAAGCTATAACTAAGGAAGAACCAAGCAAGAAACAAGCAAAAAGACGTGGCAGTATGACAAAAATAAAGTATTAAAAAGGTTATTTAATAAAAAATTAATATTAAATCTTAAGGCCTAGAATATATAAAAACTAATTTTTAGTTAATTATTTTTTGCTAGGGCGTTAGYCTTAAATATATTATTAAAATAATAATAATATTACCACTACATGGTGGGTTAATATTACTGTGACCCTTATCTTATTAGCTCCCTTATCTTATTAGGGCTTGGCATTTGTGGGTGTGACACCTTAGGCCGCTGGATTGCGTTATTACAACACTACATAGTTATAATACCATAGCGGTAATAACATTATATTTAATATTAAAAAGGTTAAGACTAAATTAAACTTAAATATAAATTAAAACTATTATAGCCTTTTTTTTATTTTTTACGTTTATTACCAGCTTAGCCTTTTTTTTCTTTGTTTTATAGCTTTAGTTTAAACAAGGGCATTTTTTTTGAAAAGGGACTATTAAAATAACTTATATTACATGCATTTAGTATTATATTACCACGAGCTACCGCCCTTGCTTTACTATATTACTACCTTTAAATAGCATTAATCATAATATAAATCTTTCATCATACCGTCATCCGCTGATAAAATATATAGAAACTAACTTTTAACTAATTATTTTGTTAGGGTGTTAGCCTTAAATATATTTTTAAAATATTAATAATATTACTACTATATGGTGGGTTAACATTACCATAACTCTTATCTTATTAGTGTCCCTTATCTTATCGGGGCCTTGGCATCCATAGGCGTGACATAATAGTAGTATAATGCTGCAGTGGTGCCACATTGTGATAATATTAAGCTTAAAAAATATAAATTATTATAACAAAAAGGTATTGTATATTTATAGTAAAAATTAATCATTAATTTTTAAGTTAAAATTTAAGTTAAACTTAGTATTTTATATATTATATAACTAGCTACTATTTTAGTACACAGCTAGATTAGTACTAAAGTTTCTTTATTAGGCAGCCTCAGGCCGCCAAATTATATTATTGCAACACCGCGCAATTGCAACACCATAGCAGTGATAACATGTGAGCAGTCAGGCCCTAGCCCTAGCTGGGCGGAGGCCGCGATTGTGACACCTGACAAATAGTATTTTTTACTATTATAGAAGTCTAACTTTTGTAAAAAAAATAGATGTATTACAACATTATGGTACAGATAAAAAAATATAAGTAATAAACTCATTGCTTGGATATCATTTCTTCTTCTTGGCAGATCTGGATTCTGTAAAAACGGATGCTTGTTAGTGACCACTGTGAATGCACTGGAAAGTTACCTCACCTGCGGCTGTTCGCTTTTTCTTTGGCCTTCCCTTCCCACGTAGTTTCGCACTGGGGTTGTACCATAAGCAGAATATACAAACCCGAGAACAGAATAGACTCACATCTGAATGGCTTCTTCTCTGTCATCCTCGGCTTCATCAAAAGTCGTCAATCCAAGTGATTTGCACGTGGTCCGCAAATCTCTAAAGGAGACCGTCTTCTTTGGATACCATTCTGCCAATGCTGGACCTCGTAGTCTCTGACGCAGCACCTTATTTCCAAGCCGTAACCCGTCGGGGTTGAAGTTCAGGGAGAAGACTCGGCATTGAACCTGTTTCGACACACGATAATCAGAAATGTAACAGCATATAAGTTACGGGTAAGGTTACCTTAGCCAAGTCCAATAGTCGACTATACTGAGCTGCCATTTGGGGTGGAAGGTGTTGTTTTGGTTGTTGCAGAGTAAGTTTGTAGGGTCGGACGTAGACATCCCCGATACGGTACCACGTGACCACACCGCTCAAACGTCTGATATAGCAGACGTTCTTCCGCATACTGCAGTCCAGTCATGGATCGAAAACGCAAATCTGTTTTTGCGTCATACCACGATGATAAAGCAGCCAAAACAAGAAAAAAAGTCAGTGTCATCCCTCTTCAGGAAACTGATTGCGCAATGTTGACAACAAACTAGGAAACTTACTCTGACCATAGTTTCAACATATCTTCTCCACAGGCGCCCTCACCGGACACTGACCTACAAGACGATATCCAAAGTATCTGTATGCTAGCCGACAAAATAATCGTGAAATACGACAATGGTCATATTAAACTCAGTCCAGAGGTCTTGGAGGCAACTAAAGTGTTCACATCCGCTCTACAAAAAACACCACCTCTAAGAAAACATACTAAACTCACTGACCCTGGCCCTGAAGTGCCGCGGCTTAGTCGGCATCTCAAATCCCTACCCCCATTGCCTCCAGTTCGAGACGAACAACTCGAACGGGCGGTTTTTACACATCCAGGTGTGAGCAAAGACCCAAAAACAACTTATGACAGGCTTGAAATTCTCGGCGATGCATACATAGAGCTATTTTCCACCAAGCTCATCTGGAACCGATTCCAGCACATGCCGTCCGGCCGCATGTCACAAATCAGAGAGCTTCTAGTAAAGAATGAGACGCTGGCTGAGTACGCCACCCAGTATGGCATCGACAGCAGAGCGTCGGTTCCGCCTGAGTTCTCAAATCAGCCGAAAAGGTGGATCAAAACGAGAGGGGATATTTTTGAAGCCTACGTGGCTGCTGTCATCTTGTCTCATCCCGATGGCTATGCTGTTGCCGAGTCGTGGCTCTCCGAACTATGGTCACCAAAGCTTGAGGCCCTCGAAGAATCCAACTCATTTTCCCAAGCAAAGGAGGCGCTTGCCAGGAAAGTCATGGGGAAAGGTGCCAAGTTGAGATATATCGACGAAAAGGAATCGATACAACATAAAGGAGGAACACAATCATACTTCATCGGTGTATATTTTACTGGATGGGGGTGGACAGATAAACACCTTGGTTCTGGACAGGGGTCAAATAAAACGATTGCCGGAAACAGGGCAGCTCAACAGGCCCTGGAAAATGGGGACCTGATCAACAAGATTGTCGCATCTAAAGAATCCCATATGACAGGAAGGCCCTAAGATTAGATCCATTTTCATGGTTATTTGCATATAAAAATGCCTTGTCCTTTGCGCTAGCAATTACCATAGCACCAGGGAACCCTTGTATACGCAGCGGAGTAATAGCAAAGGATGAACCAGAAGGCCGAAGGGTCTGTGACTTTGCGGTATCTCGTAGTGGGGTAGTACATCTTTCTCTTTGGGCTGGAGGCAAATAGCATAAATGTGATAAAGTCACATGGTTGTCTCCAGACACCCATGTCTGTAGTTAGAAGACGGCAGGGATGTGCCAAGTATCATCACCAAGGGATCACCAAGTACGTATGGCATAGATGAATCAGCGTGGCACAACCATCACCAATTTTATGTTGAACTCTGAGACAGACTACTCAACATCTACCTGCCTAGGTAAACACACATTACATCTAAATTATACTCTTTTGTCATACTTACACCACGTGTAACAAATCTCAATCACAGATGGATTGGGATCGCACCAGAAGGTTTGACTGGCCCCCATCTTAGCGCAAATCCAGGCGTCTTTTTGAATACACAGTTACTGAGCGGGGTGTTATCTCTACAGATTCGATGACCATCGTGGTGGGGAGAGCTATCGCCCTGGGGCTTCTCGAGTTTATAGTCGTCGCAGCAGGTCGCCCCCACGAATGCGTTCTCCTCCAGGTCGCCTTGTCGCTGACACGTGGGCACCATCTCCTGGTCGGCCATATACCCGCCCCAGGAGTCGTTCGCCCCCTCCCTTCAGACGTCGTTCACGAAGCCCTCAGCCGTATAACAGAGACGTTAATGTTTTGTACGCGAAATCGTATGCCTCTCGAAGGTTCTCGCCCCGTCGGGACGTGAGGCCAAGGTCTCCAGTATCCTCGTCTAGACGACCAAGATCTCCTTTTAGGGAAGATCGTCCGCGCGATGCTGCTTGGGCCCATAACAGTCTGATCCAGAGGCAGCCCGGGGACGCTTCTTCCTCCAGTCGCGATTACGGGTACTATAGAACAGACCGCCGCCTACCTTCCGCTGGCCGGCATACGAGGCCCGGCTCACCTTCGCGACATGTACCACCATATCAAGAAGATCAGCGCCCAACGCCTCGCGCCAGGAGCCCTTTCCATTGTGGGCGTAGGGATCCCACTGCTGATCGGTATCAGGGACAGAGACGACGGTCACAATCCCCAAATGATACATCATCTAAGCGCCCTTCTGCCTCTGGTTCTATGTCCAACTCCAGACGGTCATCACCCCTCGATGAAAGGAACCATAGCATCAGAGGCAATAGAAGTGGATCGCCGCCTGTTACTCATCTTTCAAGTCATCGCCGCTCTCAAGACCGCGGGACCCCAATGAGCCAGTATGACCGCACACCGGTGATAAGAGGCAAGTTGGAAACACCGGAAGCCAGGATCAAATCTCCTACGTCAGAGAAGGCTTTCGCGACACCATTGCCGTCTCGGGTCTCTGATTTAGACCCGAAGTCATTTCACAGCAAAACGTCATATCCGAGCAATGTCCCAAGCCAGCCGAAGGCGTTTAGCAATAGCCGCAACCACAAACTGTCCCCTCCACCCGGTCCGCCACATGGCCCGAAGACTCTTCCGTCGCATCCTCGCGCATCAAATATTTCACTCTTGTCTGCTCCGACAAGGCCTCGCGGAAGCTCAAATTTCAAAGATAGTGGCTGGGCAAGCACCTCCTTGCGTCGTGGGCCTGGGCTTACTGGGTCCCATGGAACTGCGCCTCGAAGTAATCACTTACCAGTCCCTGTTGCTGAACCTCAACGTTCCCGCTCCGGCCGTCATAATAGCGTGCCAACAACCCCCTCACAAGCCCCCAGGCACTCCAAATATCTCACAGGTCTCGGCACAATTTTACCCGGAGGTAAACTTGCGCCGCTCGACATTGAGGCCACGACAGAGAAACGTCTCTCCCAGCTCGAGGCAGATAAGGACCGGCTGTTTCAGCAAATTACAGAGGGCCAGAAGTTGAAGCGTGCCGGTTTACGGGACTGGGATAGACTAGATAGGGAAAGTACAATTTGTGCTCTGAGAAGCGAATTGGCTGAAGGGTATCTACAATGCATTACAGATACTGAAGGTATACTTGGCAGGGCCTTGTTTTGATTGTTCATCTTTTATACAAGCAGTCACTGGCGGAATTTCAATGCTTGTTGTTAGTGGCTACTGCTGTTTTAGCAAAATTATATTATCACTGACCATTCTTGAAGCCTTGATGACACTGATTATACATATGTGACTCTCAGAACTTTAATTTTTGGTTTTAGGCAGCATGTAAATATGCATGATAATAACTGGTAGAGTGTGTTGCATAATGAATGTGGGCTATGTCCACCCTAGCTTGTGCCTGGTTGTGCACTGCTTAATTAATGCTTAAGGCTTCGTGTCCACATTCTTGGGTTTGTTTATGTCATCACTGAAGTTGCTCTGTGATCACAAACTTGTCTGTCTGTTAGGCGGAAATTATTCAACATCCATTTGAGGGCCAGACACCCAATACTATAGATTTCTTGGATCGCAATCCTTCTCTGTTCTCCAATTGTCCCCCATCTTGTTGTCTTTTCCTTGTGTGATTGACTGCAACCCTGAAAAGGGAACCTGATAGCACCATGAATATCTTCAGATTACTTGGTAAGTTCCAAGGGACCACTGGCAATAACAGTTCTAACAGTATCACAGCTGATTTCTCCCATCTTGCGTCGATATTTGTCCTTCTACAAAAAATGAAGTCTTCAAGCGTGCGCCCAACCCATCTACGACCTGGTGCTAATGCGCTAATTCTAGCTTATAGAGCTGCTCCGGATTGTCTTTCAAGTCGCAGGCTCTCTACTTGATAGTTTTTGTTACTAGATATCTTGGTACGTTTCAGGATACCTTGTTTGCTGCCTCTGTTACTATGGTTGACCACCAATGACTCTAGATTTGTTCTGGGCTTTTACGGACTCATTATACAATACAACCTTCAAAATCTTGTTCATCGGCTCGTCAGGCTATATCATCTACCTTATGCTCAATGATTACCGACCTACACATGACCCCAACCTCGATACGTTTAAAGTGCAGTACCTACTTGCCGCCAGCGCCATCCTCGCTCTTATTTTCCCACACGACTATAGCATTTCGGAGGTCAGTCAATCTCTTTTAGTAGTGGGCTCAACATTGACAGACTGTAGGTTCTATGGACTTTCTCGATCTGGCTCGAGTCTGTGGCCATCCTTCCCCAGCTTTTTATGCTCCAACGTACCGGTGAAGCAGAATCTATCACTACCCATTATCTATTCGCATTGGGTATCTATAGGGCTCTCTATATCCCCAACTGGATATACCGATACTTTGCAGAAAACCACTTTCATCCCGTTCCAGTTCTGGCAGGTATCATCCAGACTCTTTTGTATTCTGACTTTTTCTACATCTACTACACCAAGTAAGTCATCCGTTTGCGTAAAATATCCCAGAGACTAATTTGTGAGCAGGATAATGAAAGGCAAGAAATTCTCTCTCCCAGTCTGAAGAGTGCTTGATTGCCTACCGTGGTCAATTGCAATCCACAGCTCGCAGAGAGCATCCATTCCCATGCTGCCGTTTGTACAACAGTTCGGGCAATCAACGGGGTGGCAGAGAAACGGCGGTATCTGGTTCGAATAGCCACAGAGTCTTAAAGCAAATACCCTCTCGAAAAGAATTACCCAACAGTCATTGCACGGCGCCCCAAAGTTCCTGGTTATATGTACCATATGATGCAACTACAATGAATGCGATTTTCTTGACTATTGCCAGCTCGACCTTTTAAACGAAGCCACGGGGACAATGAAGGCGACGGCACTGTGAGTAATTCTTTCTATAGTGTAAGGAGCCTAGGTTGCTGGATTCTAAATACTGTGGTGCCGATACTGGTCAGTGTTCATTCTTAAGCTCTTCAGACACTGTACGGACTAATATTGAGAGGAACAGGAGATGAAAAGAGCATATATCCGAGATTGGTCAATGAAAAATGAAAACACTCCACGCCTTGTCACCCTCAAAAACCGCGTGCAGGTTGGAGACAGAAGATGTCACTGTCACCAAAGTCATGGTTTCCCAATTGACGGTAGGATGGAACGAGGGACCTAGCAGGAGAAATCTCGATGGCCGGATGTTCCATGTGCACTGGAATATCCCGTGCTGTAATTGACTTGAAGCGAAGGCACTGGAATCTCATTGTGGAACGAATCCAAAGCTGCTGATATTGGGCCCGGAAGATGACCCAAAACTCCGCCACTAACTGATCGCACAGTCCCAATACTCAAAGTCCCGTGCCTGTGCGATTTGCGCGCCGAATCTACCCAGTTATTTTGCTGGTGAAAATACTCCATCTGAGGCCTATCCAAGGTGGCCGGTCCAGAGATGGCCGATTGGCGTCTAGATATAGGCGGAGAGGGAAGTTTCGGAGAACGCGAGGATATTTCGAGAGGTGGCGAGCCTCGCCTCGAATTAGGGGGCGTCAAACGAGTGCCACCCCGGCGGACTTGGCAAGTTGGGCATATTTTCACGAAGCGAGATATTAGTTCTTTGGGCACCCTTCAAAGAAGTCAGCGGAGTATATAATAAACGAACGGTGTGTGTTGACCACGTACCATGAGTATACCTGTCGTACCTGGGCTGACGTTTTATCTCGACCACCATGTTGGCATTGCTGGTGCGCCTTCGTGAGTATCTTGAACAGCTTTTCCCTGATGGCGACTGGCTTCCCTTCGTGGCAAATCATTCGCCTGCACTAGAGATGATGCTTCACCGTTAGCATTGCGCCCTGCTCGCTGCAGACAGGTGTGGCTTACGGACATCTGAGCTATTGCCCCCGACTGCTTGAAGCTTAAACATCTTTTTAACCCAAAATCTAATGTGCTCATCAGCTTACTCGAACTCTCTGTGTTGACGACAAGCGTCTCAATTGAGGAAGGCTCCATACCGAAATTGGGCAGATTCGATGGCCGTGTCCTTAGGATCTATCAAGACTGTCCTGATGTTGCGCGCCCGCTTAGCGTGAATCAAAGCCTTATCTTGCTTCTTCACGGACAAATCATCAACGTAACTAAGAAAATTATACTATGAGTTCGACTCACGCTTTATGGAAGGCGAGGATAGGAGACAGAACAAGAACAGATGGACTCTTACCTCTTGACCAATCTATCGAATTCTTTAACGTTGGGGAAGCCCTCTAGCGGAGGAATAATTGGTTCCGAAAGCATGGTATCCTCATTCCTGGAATCTTGGTTCTCGAGCTCCGTTTCAGCCAATGCTTCATGAAGAGGGAGGTAAGCCGGCCCTTGCAGATAACGCGGCTGCGGTATACATTGTGCTGGTGGGTGGTGCAGGGTTGCGTGGTCAGTAATCGGCGCCATCGATGCTCCCTGTGAATGATGGGGGGACATGTTTGAGTGGTTATAGGGCAAACTGAAATGCGGTGCAAAAGAACTGAAATGATGCTGTGGGAAATGGTAGGAGCTTGCTTCGAAATCATGACCTTCTCCATGACCGCCTGGAATAGGCAAAGATAGATGCGGATTGATGAAGTAACCCTCCTGTCCGTCGTTACTCCGTCTATGGAAACCGCTCATGATTGTCGCCAAAGATTTGTTGTTATTTCTGGTCCGGCGTCCACAAGAAGGTATACAGGCCTTGACAACACTCTCCAACCTTGTATGCCACCTGCACTCCTTGAGACCGTTACAACTCTGTGGAGGGTATTGACTGTGGCTGGCTGGTATGATTCTCAAAGTGATTTATAGAATTCGCTCGCTGACGTGTGCAGGTGTAGCATAAAATCCGGCTAGGAGAATATGCCGGCCTAGCCCTGGTGGAAGGTCCTGAAGAATGAAGAGGGAGATGAAGTTTCTTTCTGTCTTCGTTGGAAAGGCTGAACTACCAACAAGCGGACAGGGAGTTGAATTTAAGGGGGTATATCCATTGCCTGGTCTATAAAGCTCTTTTTCTCCCCTTTCTTTTTTTGTTACTTATTTTGATTCAAAAACATGTGCATATCCAATAGACACTGTGCCCCGAGGTATGATGCGAGGTAACCATCAATCAAATACCAGGTAATGGTGAAGATGCAGAGGCAAAAGGAATTCTGAAATGCCGATGGCTAGTACCTACCTGCTGCTGGCGAATGGGGCGAATGGCTAGAGACTTGGAGACTGGAAAGCAGGGTGCTGCAAATGTCAAGCAAAAAGAGAAATACAGGCAGGGGCACCGAAGAGATTGACAGCAAACAGGAACCAGGAGATAACAGAAAAGGCATGTCGGATGTAGCGCACACTGCAAATGGTGCAAATACAGCGGCAAAGCAAGCTGCATTTGGGGGCGCAAAACGAAGCAGAAGTAGCCAAGGGTGTGCCAAATTTGACCAGGATCAAGCATCTCAGGCAACAACATCGGTTGAGCGGCGGAGAATACAATAGAAACAACAGGCAGTGAGACAGTGAATCAACAGTGTATTGGTTGACACGGTTCACATAATTGACACTTCCATAATGACAAGAGCAGCCCTAACAGACACTGATCTCCGCAATTCTGCAGATGAGGCCTACCCGGGTACAGACAATGGCATACTTATAATTAGCCTTGCATAAACTGATTCGCTGATCCTCCAGAGAGTCTAGAGCAGAGTCACAGACCAAGGACACATTCCAATTTTCTTGATATGTGCCATGAATGATTCGAGGCTTTCCGTGCCACCCAATCAAGGAAGATCCTGGTAGTGATGCATGAATAAAAGACCGGGGATCCCTACCCAAGCCCAACCCAGCAAACCTCTTATGGAATGATCCTCAATTCTGTTCGAGTTCCAGACTCCGGTGCAATAGTTCATCAATCATTGATGCACCTTTGTTCTTTGCTTCTTTCCGTGCCACGTTAGCTTGACTGGCCTTCGTGCTGCAGCCAACCAAACTCAAACTGACTTGCAGAACCGCACGCTTCCGAGGTGGAGACTGATGGTTCATTCGGCCACAAAACCAGCATCAACTGTAGGGACTAGGAAGCTCGGGTCTTTGTCGGTTCCACATCGAGTTGGGTCGATTATTTGACTAATTCCAGTTGATAGTGCTGCTGATTGTGGTCTCACCTAACTACCTGAAACGACTATTTGCCTTCACGCACCGCAATGACCTCTCATACGGACAGCAATGTCGCCGTATATTAGTTTCTCTCTCCGTGTCATCTGAGGTCCCTAGATTATGGGTGCGTTGGCAACTGATGCATCTGGACTATCACCATTGGTTCGACGTGGTGTGACTCGCATTCTTACAGGCAATGTCAGCAACTTCAACATAGCATGTTCATGACTTCAGTACCTTCAACGAATGGGTCAACGCTCAATTCCAGGTCGGTGCGTGCTACCCTTAGACGCTGGCAACCTGGCACGGCTAGGATGCTCTCATATTACTTGTGCGGTATCTCGGAACCCGGTTGTGGCAAGGACGAAGCAAGGGAATGCGCCTCCTGACGGGCTGGGATATGGAGATGTGCATGATGCTGTACATAAATAGTCAAGCACGCAGACCGCCACACAAGGGGTGCCTATCGGTGGCGGCCTTCTGGCGGATACCGAAGAACCACCAAGAATTCCTAATAGTTGTGACATCAAACGTCTCAGCAGACGCACATCTCCAACGACAGTTGTGCCGAATAAAGGCACCTCGTTTGCGCCTATGGTCATGGAGCGTAGGCAGACAGGTAAGGCGGATGAGGTGCTCACCAACCCTGCGGGAGGAGCTATGATCCCGCACCCTGACACCACAGGACTAGAAGTGTCGAAGTATCGACCGATGACCTAGCATACCGCAGCATTGCGCCTCGACCTTGTCCCCTACCTTCATGCGCTCGCTGCTGGTACTTTTGGAAAAGCACGTAGTCGCACGGTTGATCAAGAAGTAGCAAGTACACGCCGGCGTCACACCCTGAAGGGGCATGGACAAATAGCCTGCTAGCAGGGATGGGTATCGTAGGTGCCGGTGATAGAGCTGCTGTCGAGCAGCTAGCCATTCCAACCGACGAAAGCCACTTGAATCGGAATTGAACCTCATAAGTTCTATTGTCATCAGCTCGTGCAATCAAGGTATCCACTAACACTAGGTAAAACAGGCATATAACGACGGTAGTTATTGCAAGGGGACAAGGTCACCGTAATCTTCAAACTACTCGCCACACACTATTAGAGCTCGAACATATCAATGTATAGGAGAAGCTCCAGTAAATTCATGGGTATCATCATTATTGTCTCATTTCATCTCACCTCGATTCTCTGGGTTAGAAGTGGAAGCAACCAGGCCAAACAATCATGCATTGTCGACCCCTCGAGCCCCAAGCGTGCTGTTAGATTTTACCAGATCCCGGATAGCCCATCTCCAGCTGCTTCCGAAACCAGCAGGGTCACGGTTTATCCACTTGTCGACCTTGCGTCTCCATTTTTCCTCTTCCGTATGCTGGCGTCTAATAAATTCTGGGCCAACGTCAAATTCCTCTGTTATGGGCCACTCATCAGACGACTCCTCGCCGCTCCTGTCATCCCCGCTAATTGCAGGGCCGAAATCTTCGAGGGCCCGCGGAACCCTTTGGCTAGAGGCACCAGATTCCCCCAGATCAGCAAGGTTGGAAAATACATCATCTTCGTCTTCGATTGCAACGACCCCATCTACCCCGGGTTGAGACGGCGCCAGCTTCAGCCAACACATGCGTTGCGGATCAAACACCATTCCGCCAACCACCTGAACGTTCTGCATGGCCCCCACATTGGTGATAAGGGCGGGTGATGATTTCGGCGACTTCGGCGTGGTGGTGTCGAATCCATGGACCAGATTCTCGTTCCCTTCCCAACGAAAAGAGATAGGATTGTATTGCATACCATTCACGGCTTGGTAAATGTCAGCGTCCAGTCCTTGAACATTGTTATGATTCGAGAAAGTACTTACATTTCCGTTCTTGCACCCCGGTACCAATGGGCTTTATTAGCTGAGGTTTAGATCCAGAGACCGAACCGGATTTCGCTTTCTTGCTTCTTAGTGCTCCTGTGGTTGACGGGATCCGCGAGGCGTTTTGGGATTTCCAGTTCGAGCTTAGAGGGGTAAGAGGATTATTTTCCCGGCTCTTTGAAATCGAAGACATGGATGCGATGCGTTGTTCTCTAGCATTCCTTGATGCGTTGGTATCTCGTGCAAATCTAGGAACAGATCCTTGTTGCTGGAGTGGGTTGCTCGTAGTGGGAGTCTGCTGGATTGAACCTTCCGGTTTCAAAGGCTCGGTTTGACTTATGCTCAGCCTATTTCGCAAGGATCGCGGCGCCCCACGACCGCTAGGTTGCTTTACAAATTTGCTCTCCGTTGCAGTGGAAGTAGGTAAGTCGTCAAAAGAAGCCAATTCAGTTCCGTCACCATAATTTCGGCGACGTGCCGGTCGAGTAAGGGCCCGTTTAGGAGTTGTATTCATTGCATCCGGGCTTGTATCATTTGAGATGCCGCCGGAAACATCATGACGGCCCGATAGTGGCAATCGCACAATGATGCCTTCAGAGCTGATTGTATCGCTGGAGCCATCGGAGCTCCGACGGGTATATCGGTAATTTTTCATGCTGGCGTGATGAGATTGTTTGTCTGACGCACCGGCGGGTAAGAATGGTGCCTGGGATTTACGGACTGATGTCTTCCCATCTTGCCCAGTGCGGTCAATAGGCGCCCGAAACCGGGTATTCAGCCAGCCCGAGCTACCACTTTGACGAGGAGGGCTCGTAAATGAGGTGCTGTGACCTGTCCGCTGTGGTGCGTTGCGCATTGAGGGCATTGACCGTTTCGATCTCAATAACTGCTTCCCAGAGGTGCGTTCACCCGCCAAGCCTTCCTTTGAGATTCGAGTCCCAACTAAGCGCCGGCTCGACGTCAATGGAAGCGACGACACGGACGTCGACCCAGTTATCGGAAGACTAGACACGGATGAGTGAGAGACATGGCTTGGTCCGCGTGGAGAGGAACGAAACTTTGATAAGGGGGCACCGCTCTCAGAGACCGTCTCGAGATGGGTGGAATGAGTCCGGTCATGTCCAGAAAGCCGGGGGATACGGGTTTTCGGAGATACCGCGGCGTTTGTGAAGGTTAGCGTGGTTGCAGAACGCCGCGCCGGGCTTCCGAAAGACTCTGTTTTGTATTTGATATTCGGATTTATTGAAGATCTCCTGGCAATCAAGGCCTCGTCGCTATTGATCTCAAGACCAGAGAAAAAGTCGTCGCTGCGAGGTTGTTCTAGACGCCTATCCTCGGGTATACAGCGAGGTGCCTCGGAGAAGTTCTGCTGCCCCGACTGGGTCAAACGGGCGCCCAGGTCTAAAGGTCCTTCCGGAATCACAAGACCGTCCAGTCCTTCGTCGTCACTTTCACCTGTGAGGTAGCTTGAAGCACTTGGACTTACAAGCGAGATCGACGAGCTTGGATTCGAACGGTGTTCTCGCATAGTGCCACCGAATCGCACGCCAATACTACCTTCGGACCAATCGACATCAACGTCCTCGGCAGCTGGGCTAAAGGTGCTTGCCAACGGATTGCGCAATTGGAGGAGGTCATCCGCCGGTAGTTCAAAGTCATCCTCAAACTTCTCAACCGATGTAGTTTCCTTGTCGATATCCGAGTCTCTAATGATGCTCGGTAAATGTGAAGAAAGCTGCTTGGTCGCTTTGATGGTAGAGACATCCCCGGTGCCATCGACACTGATGCAGTCTGGGAAGCCAGCGGGTAATGGGTGGGTAGATGGTGGCAGAGTCAAGTCGCCGTCTAAGAGCGGAGAGACCTTCGCATGTTCTGTTGAAGTGGAGCCAAGGTGCAGAAGGGCCTCGGGAAGAGATGTGTGGTGGAATCGTTTCAACTCCAGAGCAGTACTAGGGCTAGGGAGTTCCAAATCGTCAGACCAGTCGTCAATGAACTCTCGCTTTGTCTTTTTCCTTCCAAGACGCTTGATTGTGCCCCCGACAAGAGCTGTGCGTGGGACATTTGCTGGTAGAGGAATACCAGCATTTTTGACAGAAATTATGGCTTCTTCATTCACAAATTCATCCTCGTCTAATAACTGTATCTGCCAATCTTCATCTCCACCTGTGGTGGAGTCAAGATCAGAACGAGCAGAGCGACGCGAAGAGATCGAGTCGCGATGTCCAGACCGGCGAATAGACGAGTTCGTTACAGATGTGGTGCTCGAAGCGGCGCGGAGATGAATGTCCTCGTAACATTGTAGTTCATCGTCATCGTCCCAACATTCAATTGCTCCTTCACTGTTCTGGCGCACATCAAGAGTTGTTGGCGCCATGATTGCTCGCTTGCCGGCGCTATGAAATATAGCATGTACTCATACGTCAAGTATATATTCGAAGAGCGAGATCTAGGTTGTATGCTTCGGATGTTCTGATACTGGTAAGGTGCTGTGATAAAGATAGAGCGTCATGCCGTGCTGCTGCTGGATAGTTGAGTTTGGTAATATCGAAAGTCCGGTTAGGTATGCATGTAATTTCACTTGAGCAAAAGAAAGGGTGGGTCCAATGTCGGTGGCTCGTGTCTTATAGTGTATGGTTGATATGTAGATAAAGGAGCACAGGGGCTTGAGTTGCCTATGCTGGGTATCACGAGAGCTTAAGAGGACAGACAGTATGACATTGAACAAAGGGGGAAGTCCACAACGTGGGAATATTGGGTGACAGGGGTCATGCGGGAACTTGTGTGTCGTGACAGCGGTGGCTGGTGGAATTCCGTGAACAGGCAAGGGCGCTATGAATGCTAACTACACAAGCATCCGCGGAGAGTGGTCAGAGACCATAATACTCTTGTTGAGTATAGCGGCAATAATGAGGAGTTAGATACGGAGTACCAGGCACAAAAACAGAAGAGAGTGTATCTGGGCAACGGGAGTCTGAGCAGTGAGGCAAGGGTAATCTGCTGGATGAAATGTGGATTGAATGCTGCAGAGTTGTGGCGGCGCTTCATCCACTAGTTCCATGCTAAGGCGCCGGTTGCTCGGACAGTCCAATACGGAGTACTCCTATCTAATTCTAATGTATCACGGAGTACAGACACATCAAATTAAGGATGTCTTACTTGCGTCAGTCTCACCTGTGGGTTGTCTGACGTATTGCCACCAGTAGATTTTTGGGGTCGGATTGGCAAGTCCAGACTGAATACTGAATCATGATATGGTATCCGTATTCAGTCTACTCCGTAGCCAGCCCGGGCCTTAGCGGCATGCTTCGGAACACTTATTTTTGGGAAAGACAGGTTAGACTGGCCACATCTCAGCCATGACGTGCATACGGAGACGGAGTACAGGGCAACGCTCTGTCCACAGTCTATTCTTGTACTCCGTATACTGTAGACCCACCGTCTCATCACTGCACCGTCGTGGACCGTGGCTTGTCTCCGTGTCTGCATAACTGATGCCTCAGGGTACGCCTTCAATTTATAGGTGGGAACACTTAGGTAGAGCAGTATTGTATCACGCATGTTATTCTGAGTAAATAAAGATTTGAATGTGCTGTTATGTGTCTAGAGTCCTTCTCTGTACAGAGTGTCTCCACTGCTTATCATTACCAAGACAGATATACCTATCTTTCTAACTTCAAGAACTCTGTAATCTCTGACAAGCACTTGATATCGGTGTTTCACTCCACCTAAACCTACAAAGTACAGAGTACTGTACTTTGTAATTGAGGCCCTATGATGAGATGCGACACCCTCATTGTTTGCTTGCCTGGTGACTGTAAATTATGTATAAGAACATATTTATATCACATTTCACAATTAACAACCTATTTATTAACAATTAATAATGCATTGTTATTGATATTATCTACAAATACGGGGTATTAATCATGAAATGAGGGAGTGTGCCAAGCCCAGTAGGTAAATCCTAAGTAGAAAGCTGCAAATGCAAGTAATATGAGGACCAACCATAAGCAAGGCAACAGCCTCTTCCCGGGAAAACCAAATAGCCTAATCCTGGAAGAATAATCTCACAGTTCTCCCAGTCAAGCAAACCTCCAACATTCTGCCTGAGTGGAAAAAATGTCTTCTGTGACAGGTAGTCTTACTTCCCATGTTCTACACCTCTGTCGATCAGATAAAGCTGATTCTCACATCCTTTTTCGGGCTTCACGCTCCAACTCCACCTCACTTGAAGTGAATATAACTGCTACAGAGGGCGACAGCCCCTACACTGCAACTCGTGAGTTATTGTTAACAGCCCCAACCACCTTGGTGTACTAATGCGCGAAGGACAGTGCGGCATTCTCAGCTAAAGAAGCTCAGAGCAAAAAACTATCAAGGGAGCGATGATGAGTGGAAGGATACCCTGCTATATGTTTTCGGCCTCCATGAAGAACACCCAAAGAGGCCAAAACTTCTTACAGGCGTCGAAGCATCGGCTAGTATAAATGGAACCGGGGAGGATGATAAAGAGCTGGTAATTACAGTGAGGAAGAGGATACAGTCTATTACCGTGAGTACATTCTACATTCTTGCATGAAGGGTCTTCCGCGGACAGTACCTCTGATGTATTGCAGCAAAAACTTGGATCAATAACTCTGTACCAAGATGAAGAGCAACATATTGAGCTGTTTGAATGGACGAACCTTGCCATCGACAGGGCAGATACACTCGAGCAGCGTTTCAATAATTTATCCGATCGCTTCCATGCCGCCGAGAGTAAAATTGATTTGCTCAACAAACAGTTACAAGAGTTCATCTGCTCGAAAGATCAACATGAGCAGGAGCTGTTCTCCGGTTTCGTGCAATTATTGAATGAGAAGAAACTGAAGATCCGCAATCAGCAACGCATGCTCGCCTCAGCAAATGTGGATACCGGAAAACGTGAGCGACTATCCCGATTGTTGACGAGGTCAGTACTAAAGTCAAGCAGTAACTATGATGCAAGCAGTCGCAAGTTCAGAACAGCCAAGGCCGAAACGAAAGGGGGGGAAGGGCGGAAGATGTAAACGTGCCGCGGAAATGATACCCGCCGACTCCAGCGACGATGGTTTTGAGAAGATGGGCGCTGAGAAGTCCAAACATCATGCCAATCATGGCATGGACGAAGGCACAGATGACGAAGGACAGTCGACGCCCGAGCCAATTGAAGACGATGGTGGCACGTCCTCTGATGATGAAAATGCTTATAGCAATAGGCGATCTCAACGAGGAGATGGACAAGAACGACGACTGCCTGCGCAGGCCGCATCGAATTCGCCTCCGCCAAGGAGGGAGCTTCCCTTTGCGGGAAAGTTAGGAAAAGAGCCAAACTCAAGGCATTCTTCTCCAGTGCAGAAAGATCCGGACGAAATTGGAGGGGAGACGGATGATGATGAACTATAGCTCGCACTCTTCGCTGCAACAGCTCACGCATTAATCCTAATGTGCGTATGAGAACATGATCCAAGTACAAGCCCGACTTTTTCATGGAGTATTTACTTCGGTGACTTGTGAGATCTAAAATCCACTATCCGGTATAGCAGAGGATGGCTGAATCGCCCTTCAAGCGATGGTTATGCGCTGGAACTGGACGGGACAACCATACCACAGTGCCTCTTCTAGTTTAGGTACACGCTTACATTCCAGGATTTGTAGGCATAGTCATCTATCATTTCCGGAAGCCGCTTTTGATCTTATGTACAGAGAGTCCCTTCTTTACGTCCTTAACCTATACTGTACAACTCAAACCACTATAGGAGACAAGGGAAACGATAATACAACTAAAGGAGACCAATGACAGTGTTACGTGTTACAACAACAACGCCTAGATAAAAAGAGGACAATAAACAACAATAAATAAAAGGACGATTGGAAACAGGACTCAAAAGGTTTTTCAACCAAACATGTGCTGCGGAGACACTTCACCACCTGTAGACATGTAGTTCACGTCAGGGTTTCCAGACGCCTTGGCTGCTGAGGCGCGAGCCATGGTTGGTGAACTGCAATATGGTTAGCCACATCCTACAGGTGAGAGTGTTGGGTTATACCTTCTGGAAATGGAATCTGTGAAATAGAAATCTTCAATCACCTTCCTGAAGGGTGCGCTGGTTACCTGGGAACCCTTGTTCTGATCGACTAATTGAACCTTGCTCAGCTGCGCCAAAGAGGTGGGCTCAACGACATCGTAACGGCGCATGACAGGACTGATTTCTTCCATGCGATCGCGAAGAGCCTCAATATCATCGTACGCAAGAGGGGCGTTGAGGAATTCGCTCGCGGCACGAATGATCTTCCAGTCATCCCGGGAAGCACCGGGCATCGAAGTCGCCGCACGGGTAACTTGAACACGACCCTCGGTGTTAATGTAAGTGCCGGATTTCTCCGTATAGGCGGCTCCTGGTAAAACAACGTCCGCAATTTGTGCCCCGCGGTCACCGTGATGCCCTTGATAGACGACGAAAGCGTCACTAGGGATTTCTGACTGATTGACCTCATCAGCGCCAAGTAGCCAAATCATCTTGGGCTTCGTCTGCGTAACTTCAGGAGAAGGTATGGTGAATCCGATCTCGTATGCTGCAGCACGCGATGCCGCGCGCTGGAGAACATTATAGCCCTGCCATTCGGGCGTGTAAAAATTGCTGGCGTGCTTCTCCACAAAGCTGCCGACTGCCTCGAAAATTGCCTTTGCATTTTCATGTTCAGCTGCAGCACTGCCGACGATGATCATGGGTCGCTTAGCGGAAGCCAGCTTCTTGCCAAAGCTCCCCGAAAGCGCAGCTTTCAGAGTAGCAACGTCCGAACCAAGGTGCTCAAATTCGAATGTGCTTTCGAAAGTTTCTCCAACGAGACCTATCTCAAGATCAGAGCGAAGATACTGCTTGCGAATGCGAGCGTTGAGAACAGCAGCTTCGTGACGAGGATTCGTTGCGACTAAGAGAATGGCGTCTGCCTCCTCAATGCCGTAGATCTTACTGTTGAAGAGGTAATTTGAACGAATGTCAACGCCGTGGGCAACGGGCGAGCTACCACCGGGCTGATCCAAGGCAAGGTTGTCAGAGCCAAGCTTGTTGGCCAGGTCTTTCATGGCAACCATGGTTTCCGCGTCCACGAGATGGCCAGAGATAGCCTTGAATTCGTTCTCTTTTAACTGGAGCCTCTGGTGCGCAGATGCAATTTCAGTTAGGGCCTGTTCCCATGTCGTAGGAACAAATTTGCCTTCTTGTCGAATTAGGGGAGTGGTAATTCGCTGAGTCTTGAGTCCATCACAAGCAAAGCGAGATTTGTCATTGATCCATTCCTCGTTGATATCGTCATTAAGTCTGGGCAGGACGCGCATCACTTCCATCCCACGGGTATCTATTCGGACGTTTGAACCCAAGGCGTCATGCACATCGATGGATTCGGTGTGCTTCAGCTCCCAGGGACGGGCACGGAAGGCATAGGGCTTTGAGGTCAAAGCACCGACGGGACAAAGATCGATAATGTTGCCGGAAAGTTCAGTATCCAAATTTTGTTCCAAGTACGTTCCAATTTGCATATCATTTCCTCGGCCTGTTGTTCCAAGTTCAGGTGCGCCTGCAACATCATTCATAAATCGAACACAACGAGTGCACTGGATGCATCTGTTCATGGAAGTCTTGACAAGGGGGCCGATGTTCTTGTCTTCGATGGCACGCTTGCCTCCAAGTTCATGGAAACGCCCACGGTCAGCGCCGTAGCGCATTGACTGATCTTGAAGATCACACTCTCCTCCCTGGTCACAAATCGGACAATCAAGAGGATGGTTTGCTAGTAGGAATTCCATAACACCTTCTCTGGCTTTGTGCACCAAGGGGGAATCTGTTTTGACATTCATTCCAGGCTGAACAGGCCAGGCACATGATGCCACAGGTTTCGGGGCTCTTTCAACTTCGACAAGACACATGCGGCCTAACGAAGGTCAAAAGTCAGCACAACCACTTGGACAGGTAACATTGCTAAAGGCTTACAGTTTCCTGCAATCATCAACTTCCTAGAGTGTGCGTTAGCGCCTAGGCAGGGGTGGGGGACTAGAGAAGGGGTGTCGCGTACTCATGGTAACAGTATCTATCACGGATTGTCAGCACTACTTTAATGTACAATTGGTAAATTTATATCAATTGGTACCTGGGGATTGTCGCTCCAGCCTTCTCGCATGCTTGGATAAGAGCCGACCCAGCTGTAATGCAGAGTGAGTAGCTTGCTTTCGAGACGGTTCAGCGCAATGAAGTCACCTTCTACCGAAACCTTTTTGCCATCTAATGTCCACATGTAATCAGCAACTGACCGGAATGGCTTTGTACATGTCAAGACGCACCAATTGTGAGTTCCACCTCAGCAGAGCGAGGAATCGTCGTCGCGAAGGTCCTCGCAGTGTTGACCTTTGAAACCCGGACGGACCGGGCGGCCGCGCGGAATAGCTGCGGCCGCATACTGTGAAGAGAGGAAACAAAGAGGATAAAGGGAAAATGATATGAAGATGGGGCAGTAAGCTGCAGTGGCCGATGTGCAGCTTGAAGAGGGGGGAAGCTGGTATCTTTGGTCAAGGCACTTTCGGCGTAAGGTTGGATTCTCAAGCCCGGGCCGGGCGTCACTCGCAAATTGCTGCCTCCGGATTGGCTTAGCGGTACGGAAAATTATGTAGTCCGGACCACTTCCTTTTCTTGCTTTCTCAGCAAATTCGAGACTGTTTTCCTTTTCTTTTCTTTTCTCCATCTCATTTTACGGGCATGTTTATTGTAGGTGGTAGGGCAGTCTACGTCCCTCCCTCCTCTGCATCATGACCCAAGAGCAAGATGCACTGAGCTGGAGCTCCTGAGGGTCGTTTTAACCAGTTTACTGGTAAATTCACCCACTGAAGGTAGAGTTCCTTACCGACAGCGGCGACAATCGCGTGGTATTCATATTCTTCGGTTCGCTCCTGTCAGTTTGGAGAAAAGCTGTGAAATTTCTATGAATGGAAATTTCAGGTCTGTTTAAAATGATCTGTATGTACGCATGTATTGTGCTTGTCATGTTCTCAAATTGAATGCTCAAGACCCTCAGGAGGTGCTGAATGCTCTGTAAGTAAGGATTGTGTATTTGTATAACAAGGAATTGCGACGTGTCCAAGCGTGTATCAGGCAAACCGGTGGCAGTTTATCGCGATATTACTTGAAAACGTTCAAACCTTGACACGTATACTGAGCCTGTATGGGAATCTATAATGCTGGAAAATCGGTAATTGTACATGAAGAGCAAGCTTAGTTCATAATCAACCCGTAACGCCTCAGTTGGTAAATAGGTTCACTTAGACAATATTCGTCGCCTAGGAGCTGCTTGCTTGCCAGGTCGCCTCCTGTTTTGTACCAGGTGGCAGCCAAGCTTTCGTGTGGCTACTCGCTCTTGGACGGGCATGGCCGATGCCATCATCCTTTCTTAGGTTACTGGAGACGGAACGCTCGGCGACATGTTGGTCGACAGACTTTCCTTGCGGGAACGCATAACCGTTCGAGTCCCAAGCCTTACCCGGCGCACGAGTATTCAAAGGAAGAACGGGTTTCTTGGAATGGAAGTGGTCCGCATTCGCTCTCCGATCTGCGACATCGTCATGGCTATTGCGGTCGTAGAGGTATAACCCAAGGAAAGTGAGGGCAATGCCGAAGCCTTGAATAGATGTGGTAGAATTACCAAACCAGACAATTGCAACGACAATCACGAACACCCTCTTAATAAGGGATGCAACTGAATATGATACTGGTGAGACCATAGAAAGGAGGACAAACGCCAGAATATTCTGAGCAAAGTGAGACACCCCATTGAACACAAACTCAAGAAAGAGGGCTCCGTGGTCCAATGAACCAGTTTTGTTTGTAAGGGAGATAGCGCCATCTTGCATCAGATCAGACAGTAAGGGATAGCCCTCAGTGACAAACCAAATGGGCAACGTGAGAATGAAAGCTAACCCGGAGCAGTAGTAGAGGAGGTTCAATTTGTCCAACTTGCGTCGTCCAGCAGACTGTAGATCCGACTCTGCACGCTCGGCTTCGTTGAAAAGTTTTTTGGAAAAAATGTTCTGCGACACGAAAACAAGAGCCGCGACAAGCGCACACAGGATGCCAAAGAAATTCGTAGAGAACCCTGTTGAGCAAGCAAGCATGACACCCAGGGTCAGCGGCACAAGTGATAAGTAGGTTGCTTTAGCATAGCGAATGCGGAAGAAAAAGCGGTACGCCAGCACGGTGAACAATGGTGAAAGTCCCTTGATAGTGTGGACTAACGAGACGGGGATTTGCGATGTAGCCATCGAGCTCAATATATGGCCTGCTAGTTGGAATACAGCGAGGGGTAGCGCGGTCATGATAACATCGCGTGACGGCGAGCGAATGTTGTTCTTGAGAGCCGGTATGCTGACTTTGAGCCAGGGTAACACGGTTGCCAGGTACGAAAGTAGCAAGCACCACAATGACACGAAGGCAAACTGGACGACTGTGAGAGTAATCGGCTTGGGAAGCGCGTTCAGAATGGATTTTGAAGACGTATTTGTTAAGGCCGAAGTAGTATACCAGATAAGGCAGAGCACCTGCGGACGAGTAAGCGGCTGCGATCGGCGATGGGATTGGAGAGTCGTACTATGAGTCTGTACGAAATGGGAGCTCTGAGTGCTTGAGCCAACTCTTGCGCATTGGCACTAACGCTACCATTGCGTGTCCTTATGGCACTTATGGTTTCGCTGATGCTCTTTCTCGGCCGTCGCTTGGTATCCCTGACTGGTTTGTAATCCCAGTGATCACTAGGCGCATACCTAATTGTTGAGTTCGGTAATATGGTTCTCGATTCCGTGACTTCGTATTGTTCGTCCTGAAACGGTGGGAACTTATCTATCGGGCTCGCCATGGGCTGAGGGCTTGACACTTTGACTGATGTCTGCAACTCTGGTTGTCGTATGGAAGCGCGCCGCCCGGTACCGGTCACTGTCCTGGTGGTCATTTCCTTATACTCTGCACACGGTCCTTGCACGGTTCGATTATGCGGTAGTAAAGCAAGGGGCGAATTGGGGTTTGAGACAAATGAAACCTGTGTGTTGCTGGAGGTTGAGCGCTGGGACGGAATACAGCGAAGTCGAGCACTTCGGACACGTTCCTGATATCGAAGACTGGATTGGTGTGACTATCCAGGAGCCCAGTACCTGTTGAGTGGACTAACGAGCGATAGACGTACCATGAGTTGACTCCGCGGCAGCGTCTCAGGTGGTACCCATACTTGTGGTCATGGTGTATCTTCAGATGGGCACTCATTCTAACAACATCACTGCAGGTTTGGTGTCTGGCTGGGGCCCCGGCCGGCGAGGCACTAGCATACTTTGGTACTAGTGCTGGATGAGATGACGAGTCACTAAATTACCACTGACCAATCATGATTGCGAAATGGGCAACGATGCACACAAAATAGCCTCGCAACTAGGGGTGGGATCCAACATATGTCTGACTGTTTGTGACCACCTAAATAATAAGTATGATAGTTATAGCAAAGCAAGGCTGTTAAATTAATGCTTAGCATATTATAAAAGGCTTAGTAGCCATAAGGCACGTAAAAACTAGTCTTATTTTAAAAGGCGCACTATAAATTTATAAAAAAAAATAATTTTTTTTAATTTATATATAAAAATTAATACTTTTTAAAAAGTTTTAAAACATGTTTTACAGCGCTTTTTACAGCGCTTTTTAAAGTATTTTTTTAGTTAAATTTATTAACCGCGTAAAAAGTATTAATAATATTATACTTATTATTTTATAATACTTTATTAACCTTAGCTAATTTTATTACTTTAGCCGCGTGGTGTTTTTCTTTTTTTATATTATTTTAATTAAGTAATTTATTAATAGCATAGGCGTTATTTAAAATTTTTTAAATTATAAAGTTTTTATAAAGTAACTAGTTACAGGCTATTTTATTTTATTTTTTTAGCTAAGTAAACTTATACTTTAGTATTTTAGCCTTATTTTTTTTATATTAATAGGCTTTAGTTTTAAAGCGCGTGTATTTATATAAATATATACTAGCTTTTTTATTTTTACTACTTAAAGGTAAAATTACTATTTATTTTTTATAAAATTTATAGTAAAAAATAAGCACTTAGTAAAAATAAAATTAATAATTATATAAAAAAGTTATATAGCTAGGAAGAAAAGGCCTAAAGTAATTTTAATTTAAAAAAAGTAATAATTAATTTTAAAGCTATTTAAAAATAAAAAACTTATAAATTACGCCTAAAAAATAAAAAATTATTATTTAACTATTTTTTACAGGGTAAAAATATGCCTTTCTTACTTAATATAAGGTAAAGTTAACATGGGTATTTTTATTAATATATTAAAAAATAATACTTTTAATTTTAAAGGCTACTGCTTTAGGTAGTGTTACTAAGATATTTTAGGGATTAAAATAATAAGTAGCCTAGTAAAAATTAGTTAGTTAAGTATTAAATTACTTATTAAAGCTAGCGTAATTTAACTTTATAAGGTATTCCTAAAGATTATTTTTAAATATTATAAGGCCTATTGTACTGTATATAGCCCTTTTACAAGACTTAAAGATATCCATGGATAGCTTTGCTTATAAATAGCTAAGTTAGCCTTTAAATATTAATTTAATATATACTAAGAATATTTAGCCTCCGCGAGGCTAGGAATTTAAACCTTAGTATTAATTTTAATATTTATTTTTTTAAAATTATTATTTATAAATCTTTTTTTTAGGTATATTATATTTTATTATATTATTTATAAATTCCTAAGGCAAAGGACCTTATAATTTTAATACTTATTAATATATTTAATTTATTAAAAGTAACCTATACCTATACTATAAGTTACTTAAGTATTTTTATAATAATTAAAAGTAATTTTTTATAAAATTATTTAAAAAAAACCTATTTACCCCTTACAAGTAAACTTATTTATAATTATAAAAAAAAATTTAAAAAATAATAATTTAAATTTTAAAATATTTTTATAAAAAAAATAATAGCTAGAACTATCCGCGGGTAACTAAAAAAATACTTATTTACTTAAAAAACTTAATTTAAATAAACTACACTTATAAGCCACGCGGATTAAAAAAGCTAAAAAAAATAAAATAGCTTATTTATAAGATTTATAAAAAGCTTTTAAAAAAGTAATTTATTAATAAGTTTTATAAATAATTTTATTTTTTTTAAAAAAAAAATTACTTATTTTATAGCTGCCTAGTAAAAAAAAAGTAATATAAAATTATTACTTATAATAATTATTACACTTTTATAAAAAAAAAATAAATATATTTAAAAAAGTAAATAGCTTTTTATAAGAAATAGTGTTAAAGTTTATAATACTTTATTTAAATTTAGTTTTATAAAAATAATAGGCTATAAAAGTAAAAATTTTAAAATATTTAACCTAAAATACCTTTTATAATTTTTTTAAATAATTAAAAAACCTTATAAATTAACTATATATAATATAAAGTAAGGTATTACGCATAACTTTTAATAAAAGCAAGTTAAACTATATATACCTATAATAATAAAAAAAGTAATAATTAAAACTAGGTAATTAAAAGGGTAAAATAAATATAATTTTTTTATAAATATTTTTTAAATTTTACTTATTTATAATAAAGTAAAAGGTCTATAAATAATTATATTTTTTTAAAAATACTTGTAAAACTAGTTTCCCTAGTTATTAAATTTTAATTAAACCTTTTTTTTATAAGATATACTAAGTATTAATTTAAAATTTATAAAAATTAATTTCTTGTAAAATAAGCACAAAAGCTTTTTATAAAAAATAAGTAATTATAAGGTAAAAAAGCCTGCCTTTATAAAAAAAAATAAAAGCCTTAATATTATTATTATAAAAAAAATAGGTATATTAAGCTAAAATACCTAAAGCTTATTAAAAAATAAAAAAAGTAAAAAATAAAAAGTAATATAAAAACCTTGCGGTGATGGTAGCTATTACTAGTAAATAATTTTAGCTAAATATAAATTAGGTTATTATAAAATAATTATTTTTATTTATAAAAATTATATTACTTAATAAAATAATTATAAATTATAAGGCCCTTGTAAATTATAAAAGTATTATAAATATATTTTTTTTACTTTTTATAAAATAAGTAAAATAAAAGATTTTACTATATTAAATTTTTATATAAGCTATTAATAACAGGCGCGTGTAAAATAAAGGTATTATAAAGGTAAATATACACCTTTAAAATTTATATAAAACTTAAAAAAAGTTTTAGGTACTTGCAGTAGTATTATTAAATATAAAGTAAATAATATTAAGCATGCTATAGCTAAAAATTTATAATTTATAAATAATTTAAATTATAAAAAAATTAATTTTTATAAAATAAAAGTATTATATAAAGGGGGTCTCCGCGGAAAGGTTTACTAAAAGTATATATAAAAAATAAGTTAAAACTTTTTAAATTAATATAATAAAAGTTAAATAAATAATATTAAATAATAAGTTACTTAATTAGTGCTGGGATTTTATAAGGGTATTTTTAAAAAAAAAAGTTATAATAGCTCCCACCTTATTATAAACGGGTTAACTTAAAAATTAAGGTTAAAAATAATAAAAAATTATTATTTAAATTTTTATATTACTACTCCCCGCAGGAGATAGTAATTATTTATAAATATATATAAATAATACTTATAAAGGGCTAGATTTAACTATTAAAGTTTTTAATAAAGGCGCCTTTATTATATACACCTAAAAAAATAATAAAGTTTATATATACATAAACTTCCACGGGCTAAATACTATATTTATAAAAAATTAATATTTTTTACTTTTAATTAATAAAATAATTACAAGGCTAAGTAGTGCTAAGATTTATATATAATTAAGTTTTTATAATATATATAATTATATTTATATTATAGCTAGGGATAAATAAAAAATAATATTTTATATAAAATATAGGCTATTTAAGTACTTAATAATATTATTTAAACTTATTAATATACCCGCGATGTTCCAGGGCTTTATAAATTAGGTATTTTATAATTTATTAAATATTATAGTTATAGTATATATTAATAATATTATTATATTTTTATAAAATATAAAAAGTTATAAAAAATATATTTATAAAGTATTAAAAAACTTTATAAAACAGGCCTGTACTATAAGCAAAGTAAGTATATATTTATAATATAAAAAATTAACTTTCTAGGGTATATTATTATACCTAATAAAGTTAAAATAAAAAAATTATATATAATTATAATTTAAGAGTAACTAATACTAAAAATAGTACATGATATTTTTATGTTTTTAAGCTTTATTAATTAATATTATAAGTTTATTTATGCCTACGTGGTAATAATAGCAGTTTTTATAAGTTTTTTTAAAAAACTAAAAAATAGTCCCGCAAGAATAGCTAGGAATAAAGTATTAGTTATAATATTAAAAGCTTATAAAATAGTAAACTTTTTAAAAAAAAGTTTAGGAAAATAGTATATTTAAATTATTTTATATAAAAGTTAGCCACGCGAGTAAAAATAAATACCTTTAAAAATAATTTTTATAATATATTAACTTAATTATATTTTAAAAAAATATAAAAGCTTATGGCTTTTTTTTTACAAAAACTTATCCTAATAAAATATAACTATGTTATTAGTAAGTAAAAACTTCTAGCTATTATAAAATTTTTTCGCGAATAAAAACATTATTTTTAAGATATATTATAAAAAATTAAGGTAATTATAAATTATAAGACACTGGTAGTATTTTAGTTACTTATAAAAATACTTTTATAAATATAAATTTATTAGGCCTAGTTTTTAGCTAAGTTTTAGTTTTAAATTACTTATTATATAGGTAAATTAAACCCTG